TCAGCGACCCGTAAAGTTTGACTTGCACCGGTGTTTCTCTTGGCCAAAAGTTTTGCCTTGATATGTTGTAATTGGGAGAGTCTTGGAGGACATGATCAGTTGTCTCAGGTGCCAATCCACTAATGTATTCAGACACATATCTATCTATGTTTAATTCCTGTAGCATGATGATATCAAAGTTATAAATCAGTCTCTACAGTACATGTACTCTCCGCTTGGCACTGCGACAATTCCAGTAACCCACTCTAAAATGCTTTAATACCTGATGCTCTGTTTTTCTCCTGGCTCCCGCTGTCCTCTTTCTAGGTCTTCTACTTACTCCATTTCCTCGTCTTCTTCTCTTCCCACTCTCTTCGTTGCCACCTGTATAAAGCACAGAGCACGCACTCCATAGCTCCAGCGATGAGTCTTTTTTTTTTATTATTAAGTACAAAATCCATAGAAAATATTATTTCAATGTAGGAAGTAAACGATCACCCTAGTATTGCCTGCCTGCTAGGGAAGAGGCAGGGGATGTCCTTACAGAGTCATTACGCCTAGCACCACCCCACCCGCTGACCAGATGTTTCAGTGTTTTGGGAAATGAGTAGGCAGACTGGCCGGTTCTGCACCAGTTGGTGGTGAATTGATGAATGACAAGCTTGATGTCCTGAGGGCGTTTAGGAGTGAGTAAACAGTGCGGAGGTGCAGGTAGATCATTACAGTCTGAGGAGAATGGCGCTCCAGGGAGTTATCAGGGAATCTAGCCGAGGCTCAACACTCAAGGGAAGGTCGAGACTGATATACAGTCAGAAAGTTACTGGTACTGTTGGAATTGGAACTCTTCGCTTGCTGTTGAAGATGGGGAAGGAGCGTTTATAGGGGTGTCCCGAGTGCAGTGATGTCGATACTTAACTCAACATTCAACATTCTTGTTAGGGATGAGTAGGAAGTTTTAAAATGGCTTGACTTCCATGACAGCATGGTTCACAGTAGTGACCCCCCCCCCCCCACCCCCACCCCCCTAGAGTCGATTTCTCCTGTTTTGAAACTTCCTTCTCCACTTCTACACTTGCTAGACTGACAGGGATGCATCCCATACTGGGACTACATTCATTGATCATTTCTGTATGTTTCACCACTTCACTGATTTAAAAGATGATACAACGCTGCTCCTCTTAGGTGTATATCAGACGTGACCTGCCATCTTAAATATGTCATTATGACGTGACTGTGTTTGTCTTCATTGTGATGTCACATGCTTAGCACTCTTTACATCCTTAACCACAATATTGGCATTTTACCAGACAATGGCAAAGCTATTGTAATTTCAATCACAATTTTATGGTCTTCATTGGAAACCCTCCTTTAAGATAAGGCGTTGTCTCATTACACTTGTAGATACGATGTTGTCCCATTACACTTGTAGATACGATGTTGTCCCACCACACTTGTAGATACGATGTTGTCCCATTACACTTGTAGATACGATGTTGTCCCATCACACTTGTAGATACGATGTTGTCCCATCACACTTGTAGATACGATGTTGTCCCATTACACTTGTAGATACAATGTTGTCCCATCACACATGTAGATAAGGTTTTGTCCCATCACACTTGTAGATAAGGTGTTGTCCCATAACACTTGTAGATAAGGTGTTGTCCCATCACACTTGTAGATAAGATGTTGTCCCATCACACTTGTAGATAAGGTGTTGTTCCATCACACTTGTAGATAAGGTGTTGTTCCATCACACTTGTAGATAAGGTGTTGTCCCATCACACTTGTAGATAAGATGTTGTCCCATCACACTTGTAGATAAGGTGTTGTCCCATCACACTTGTAGATAAGATGTTGTCCCATCACACTTGTAGATAAGGTTTTGTCCCATCACACTTGTAGATAAGGTTTTGTCCCATCACACTTGTAGATAAGGTGTTGTCCCATCACACTTTTAGATAAGGTGTTGTCCCATCACACTTGTAGATAAGGTGTTGTCCTATCACACTTGTAGATAAGGTGTCCCATCACACTTGTAGATAAGGTGTTGTCCCATCACACTTGTAGATAAGGTGTTGTCCCACCACACTTGTAGATAAGGTTTTTTCTCATCACACTTGTAGATAAGGTGTTGTCCCATCACCCTTATAGATAAGGTTTTTTCCCATCACACTTGTAGATAAAGCGTTGTCCCATCACACTTGTAGATAAAGCGTTGTCCCATCACAATTGTAGATAAGGTTTTGTCCCATCACAGCTGTAGATAAGGTTTTGTCCCATCACAGCTGTAGCTAAGGTGTTGTCCCATCACACTTGTAGATAAAGCATTGTACCATCACACTTGTAGATAAGGCATTGTCCCATCACACTTGTAGATAAGGCATTGTCCCATCGCACTTGTAGATAAGGTGTTGTCCTATCACACCTGTAGATAAGGTGTTGTCCCATCACACCTGTAGCTAAGGTGTTGTCCCATCACACCTGTAGATAAGGTGTTGTCCCATCACACTTGTAGATAAAGCATTGTACCATCACACTTGTAGATAAGGCATTGTCCCATCACACTTGTAGATAAGGCATTGTCCCATCGCACTTGTAGATAAGGTGTTGTCCTATCACACCTGTAGATAAGGTGTTGTCCCATCACAGCTGTAGATAAGGTTTTGTCCCATCACAGCTGTAGCTAAGGTGTTGTCCCATCACACTTGTAGATAAAGCATTGTACCATCACACTTGTAGATAAGGCATTGTCCCATCACACTTGTAGATAAGGCATTGTCCCATCGCACTTGTAGATAAGGTGTTGTCCTATCACACCTGTAGATAAGGTGTTGTCCCATCACACCTGTAGCTAAGGTGTTGTCCCATCACACCTGTAGATAAGGTGTTGTCCCATCACACTTGTAGATAAAGCATTGTACCATCACACTTGTAGATAAGGCATTGTCCCATCACACTTGTAGATAAGGCATTGTCCCATCGCACTTGTAGATAAGGTGTTGTCCTATCACACCTGTAGATAAGGTGTTGTCCCATCACACCTGTAGCTAAGGTGTTGTCCCATCACACCTGTAGATAAGGTGTTGTCCCATCACACTTGTAGATAAGGTGTTGTCCTATCACACCTGTAGATAAGGTGTTGTCCCATCACACCTGTAGCTAAGGTGTTGTCCCATCACACCTGTAGCTAAGGTGTTGTCCCATCACACCTGTAGATAAGGTGTTGTCCCATCACAGAGAGGAGCATTTGAGAGCACTTCTCACTTGTAAAACATAAAAATTAAAGAAGGGACAAACAAATGGATAGCATGCAAATCTGTATGGTTCTGAATAGATAGCAAGAAGAGGGGGTGGGGGGGGGGGGAGGGAAGAGAAAAACACACACACACACACTCACACCTGCCCACATATATCCACACCCATACACACACATATCCTTTCTTGTCGTCCTTTCAGAATTGTAGAGTTATGCATGTATATCTGTGTGTGAGTGTGTGTGTGTGTGTGTGTGTGTGTGTGTGTGTGTGTGTGAGTGTGTAAGAAGAAGAAGATAAGGAAAATGAAGATGGTTAAGAAGAAGAAAATGAAGAAGAAGAAGAAGAAGAAGAAGAATAAAAAGAAGAAGAAGAAGAAGAAAAGAAGAAGAAGAAGAAGAAGAAGAAGAAGAAGAAGAAGAAGAAGAAGAAGAAGAAGAAGAAGAAGAAGAAGAAGAATACAATTATAATGTTGATGAACATGTCGAACGTTTGCCTCGCGCTCAGAATGTCATAGGTTCTTTTAAAGACTGCACTGTTCAGTTCACTTTTGCAGTTTTTACAGAGATTCCTGGGGATCATGGCAGGAGCTACGGAGTTCGTGCTTTATGAGTCACTCGGTAGGCAGATAGCTGTTCAGAAGAGAGAGACCTTAGGGGGTTAAACCCAATGCAATGGTGTCCATCTTCTCGACTTTAACCTTTAACCTGAAGATTTGACACCATTAGAATTGAACACAACAAGTCTCAGTGCTGGTAGCAGGCCAACAAGAGAAGCCCAGATACCCGGTTTCAACCACCAGAAAGTTAGGATTATGGCCCCCTAATGGTTACACTAGCCCAATGTAACTTGCAGTTATTTGTAGATAACGATTTAAGAAGACAACAAACTTTGGTGAATATCTTCTTAGGCAAGGCAACTAACCACAAATGTTACTGTGTGTCTGTCCTCAAATCTAGATGCATATCATTTACAGGGTGTTTCAGAGGCAACCCAGCATGTTTTGTATGTATGTAAGTTGTACCCCACCAGGCGATAAACACCTGGTGACACAAAGTGCCACCATGCAGATGAAGATCATCCGTGGAGAGGTCCCAGAAACCCTGTTCGGCCATTAGGCCATATTTATGGCCCGGTTATTTTTAGGACCACTGGCAACACTAGGGTGGGGCTTCAAATAACGCAGCATTGCACCTAACATGAGGACGACTGCAACAAAATATTGGTGGTTGTAGGTTTTTTAGGCAGTTTGACTTTTAATAGTTTGCCACTGCTTTCTGAACCATCAGCTCTTGATATCAGTGTCGAAACTAACGTGGTCTGCTGCCAAATGGCATGCAGCTGGGGTCAGACCTGGCATCTTGGCATTACTAAGCACGTTCACAGTGTTTAAGCCACAAGCATTGACTGGGGTTCTATACATATGACAGATCATCATCATCATGTGCCCTACCAACTGGTGTAGGCACTCATGTGTCTCCACAGATCACAATCCCTGGTTGCCTGGAACAGCTCTCTTGATGATATCCCTCCATGCCATCGTTTTAGCCCGTCCAGCATCATCTCTCTTGGTCTGCCTCTACCCCCCCCCCCCTTCCTCCCCTTTTCCACTGATCTTTCCTGTTGCCACAATGTTCTCCAATGTCTCTCTTCTCATTATGTGGCTAAAGAACAGTGTTTGTCTCTTCCTTATATGACAGATACATATTATATAGTTGCATGTCATCTTTGTCATAATTCAGTGACTTTTTTTTTCTTCTACAGAATTCATTAATCTCTGGCTTCATCCAGCCAACAAATAAAGCGCAGTATTCCAGACAAGTGATTTGTTGTACTAGTGCCTACAATCTGCCAGTTTGGACACAAAATAAATGTTTGTCACAGAAACAAACAGCTAACAGGAACAAACAGTGATGCATTACATACACCTGATGGACAAGTGGTTACTCTTTTAAAAACCATACTGGAGGAGAAAAGTCGAGGGCAAGAGAGCAAGAGGTAGACAATGATACAAGTAGGAGGACAACATCAAGAGATGGGTGGACTGCAGTCTGAGAGCGAGAAGAGCCACGACAAGAGAGAGAGAGAGAGAGAGAGAGAGAGAGAGAGAGAGAGAGAGAGAGAGCCAGGTTTCATTGCAGAGATACTCCTGATTGACTGATAAAAGGTTGAACAAGGTTTTTAGAATTTTCTGCTGTTAAATTCTCATCCAAACTGTGGCTTCTTGAGTCAGTGGATGTTAATCTATCAGATCGCAGTCCTGTAGGAGAAGCATGCAACATAGTGCAGCAAAAATATTTTTGTAAAGATTAAATAACTCATCTTCTTCCTAGACAGTTGTATTTTTTAACAACTTTCTGGATTGTCTCCCAGTTTTACCATTATGGATCGTTGTGTTGATGATGATGATGATGATGATGATGATGATGATGATGATAATGATGAGAAAAACAGCTGTATCACCAAGTGTACAGTATGGGTAAAACACACTTTCAGAAAAACCGAAAACTATATAACTAGAATGTCTTTACACCAGAATACGCAGGATCGAAGGAATAAGTTCAGATATTTTAAAAAAAGAGATGAGAAATAGAAGATAAAATGAGCAGATTGATATGGCAAAGGAATGAATAGGACAGTTTGAAGGTGCTGGCTGAATGGGTAGAATACTGGGCTATCATGCAGGAGACCAGGGTTCGATTCTAGGTAGGGAGATCTTTTTCTCCTGGGGGGAGGGGGGGGGGGGATGAGATAGGTTACCTTTGTGATGATTCCTAGCACCTGTTTGACTAAGGTGGGGAAAAAAAATCCCTCGTTAAGGCAGTAGCTCGAGATGGCCTGTGCTTTACTTGTGGGGGAGGGGATAGAGGAGGTTGAGGAGGAAGTATGAATTATATTTCATGTAAAAAGAACAAATAAAACTGCTAAGAGTTTGCTTTGTATCTATCTATCTATAATGTACATAAGTGCCATTGTTCAGTGTTTCTTGGATGTGCCATGTATTTTTTTTTTCAAAGTATATTCTAAATCTGAAAGCTCTGCAGCTAATAAAGTGATAAGTATTATGCAAATTTGTGTGTAATCAATTTTTTTGTTTTTCAAAATTCCACTTATGATACATATATTGACATTGATACGCTGTTAATGACCGAATGTTTGCACCTTCTGTTCTGCTACATAAAGCTTTGACATCCATTTTCAGCTGTACTATCAGCTTTTTTTTCAATCCGAACCAAAAGGCCAGATTGGTCACTTAATTGCAAACAAAACTACTAGCAAATTTGAAAAAAAAAAAACCAAAAAACATTGGCTGTTCCTGTTGGCTTGTTGTCCAGTGTCATCAAGAAGCCAAATAAAGGTTTGCAGGGAATAACCCAGCATTAACAAATAATGAAGGTTCGGCCATTGCTGTGACTGCAGGAGTGATATACCATACACTGAATCACAAAAATGTTTAATGGTAGCCTAAGACAAATATAGAAAAAGCTGGACCAGTACAACACAGGAAAAAAAATGTGTGTAATATATACATAATGTTTCAATATTGCCAAGAAAATTAATAATAGGTCAAATCACAGTAATTATTCATAAAATAGATAACAAAGTTGTTTGAAAAGTACACTTATATTAGATTTGACACCTATAATTAATGATCTTATAATCTTTTTGTAACTGACACTTAATCTATGCAAGATTAAATAGCCAAAGATGTTTTCTTTTTCTTCAGCCAGGAGAATTATTGCTGCAGAAATCACCAGCCTCCATTCATCTCTGTGATTATCTGGCTTCAGAGCTTAGATATCTGTTTTTTTTTTAAAAATGAGTTTTTTTAGTAACATGGGGGGGGGGGGGGGGGGGGTGTCAGCCCCATGCTTTAGCTTCTAACCTGAAGGGCCAGGGTGCATTTCTTTGTGCTCTAGCCTTTGACATATTTGGCTTCGTAGCTAGCTACTGCCGACTTAGCTGTTAGTGTAATTAAGAAACACTGGCTACGACACTCTGGTATTAAACAGATACAAATATTAAATAGCCAGTATCAACAACAATTAAAAACTACATATTTATTAAAACCCAGAAAGGTTGAACAGATTGTAATTTATTTAATTATACCATGACTTTTACTTCTTCTAAGACAACATAAAAATCACGACAAAATAAAAATGAATAATTTCAACTGCAATACACAATCACTTTGTCCATCATTTTAGTAAGTTTCACCAGTGAAATCACTGGTATATCTCTGTGATGTGTGAATTTTAGAAAGAATTCATTTTTAATAAAATATATCATCATCATCATCATTTTGTGCCATTATATGTCATAAAGGGCTCACAATATATTTTTCTGTAAGTTTCTTTTGTGCCATTGCTTCAATATAATGTGTGGAATCCAGTCCATCAACTTTGGCTTCTTTCATCAACCCTAGTCTTAAAGTTTCTTTTGGACATCCTCATCTTCTCAATCCATTTGTTTCCTATTAATTGCCTGTTTGATGTTTCACTGCTTCTTACTAGGATGTGCCAAGTTTATTGCTATGTGCTTTTCCACTATCTGAAGTTTGAAGTTTGAACAAGGGATCAACATCATGGCACACAGGTAGTAACCCATAAGTGCTCCGTTCTTTTTCTAACTCAAGTCTGAGTCCAAAGAAGCACTGCACAATGCACAGGCTCTGTAGCACCGGGGAGGATCCTGAAACACTGGGTAGATTTTTAACTCAAAATTTTGCCCGGGCAGTGCCATTAGGCTACTCTTTTCAATTCCCAACTGTCAGGGGATTTTTTTTACTTGTGCAACAATGCACACCAGGAGACCAGGGGGAAATTACTAGAAGTCCAAGTCCACGTGAAAAAATCCCAACTCTTACCGGGGATTGAACCCGGAACCTCTAGCACTCGAGGTGAACACCATGCCTCGAGACCACGCAGCTCCCCCCCCCCCCCTCCACTCCCCCATAACTGCCTTAAAATAATTACAAGATACAGAAAAAATTGAAAACCCAATAAATACCTTTCTTCCCAGTTACAACCCTAAAGGTTGAACAGGGTAGTTGGGTTAGTTTGTGTGTATTTTTCTTATATCTGTTGGTACCAATGGTTGTCCAGACTTTTGTTCGCCTTTCAAGATTCCATTCCATTTAATAAAGCAAAATATGCCAGTAAATACATTGTGCAATATATTGTGTATGTTCTCTCACTATTTAGTGATATATGATACACTGAACAGACCAGATTTGATTGTTTATACACTTATTTCAGCATTTATGTCAGATGGCAAACTGGCACACATATATTTTATTATACGCTGTACATTTTATTATTTGCTGTTTGTTTAGCACTTCCATTTTATTCTGTAGTATAGCACAAGTAAAGATAAATGTTATATTCATCCAAGTTATTTTAATTCTTTCAATTATGGTTAATTTACTTTACCTTTTTGTCCTGGTAATGCAGGTGAGAGTTATGCCCATGTAGGAATTCTTGAAAAAAAAAATCCTTTAAAAAAAAACCCCATTTTACATAGGCCACTAATAGATTGAAAATTTTTTTTATTTATATACATTTGTTGAATTTTTTTTTTCTTTTTCAAAACATAAAAAGAGATATAATAGAAAAAAGTAAAGGACCCTTTTCCTGGCCTTTCAGGTGTATTTGATAGACCAAACGGCACTTGTTAGGTGACCTGGTCAGCATCATGCCAGCCGCTTTTACTTCCCAGGACTGTACCTGGTACCCACTCAAGGCTGGGTCGACTCGGGTTATTTTTGAAAAAAAATCCGGCCGTTTTTAAGAACCAAACCCACGACCTTCCGTTCCGCAGGCAAGCTACTAGCCCCTAGACAATGGCGGCTCCCTAAAGATATATAAAGGGAGTAATTATTAAACATGAAAAGAGTGAAGCATTAAATCAGGGCTTCTCAACCTTCCCAATGCCGCAACCCTTTAATACAGTTCCTCATGTTGTGGTGACCCCCAACAATACACTTTTCATTGCTACTTCATAACTTTAGTGAAAAGTGCTTTGTGATGGTCTTTTGTGATCCCTGTGAAAGGGTCGAGGACACTGTCTGGACAGGTTAGTTGCATATCCTTTACAGGACGTTTTAGAACCAACCCGAACAGCCTCTGGCTGTTGTGTGGTTTTTCTAGGCAAATTTACGTCCAGTAGTTTGCCATTGCTTTCTGGACGGTCGGCTTTCTTGCTACCACTGTCAAAACCAACGCAAGGCGCATGGCCTGCAGCTGGGATCAAACCTGGCATCTCGACATTACGAAGCGTTCGCATCGACTTAGCCACAGAGTCGACTCTGTCTCGACAAGCAAACTGAAATCTTTCTAAAACAGTTAAATTGCTTTAAATCACTGCAAATTCAAGTTCAAGTGGGCAAAATATTGAATATTGGGGAGAATAAAGTTAACACTAAAATAAAAGCAGTCACATCAATTGCTTGTGCTGAGGCAAGAAGTGTTAGGCTTTCAATCATTCTAGGCCATGAAAAACAAACTGGCATGCTTGGTTCCCATCCTCATCACTTTACTTTGCCAGGAAATTATTTTAAAACATAAAATTTTGCATTATAAATATTTTTTGCCATGACTTCTGCTTTTCTTATGTTTTGTTTGCACACTTACTTTCAAGTGTGGTGTTTCAAGTGTGGTGTTTCAAGTGTGGTGTTTCAAGTGTGGTGTTTCAAGTGTGGTGTTTCAAGTGTGGTGTTTGTAACATTGAGACATTAATATCGTATTGAATAGTTATGACAGTCTGCATCTTTTCTGCGGATTGTCCTGCATTATGCATGTTA